ATGCGCATCGTAGCCAATTCGTTCTTGACCATTTTTCGCTGCAAATGCCGGCATGTATAGCTCTTGGTTATCGCCGTTCAACTCGTCATCACTCCGGTCGCGATTGGTTTCTTCTCCAGCAAGGAGCGACCAAACCGGCATAGGTTTACCTTGTCGGGACAATTTTACACGTGGCGTTTTATGCAGGGCCTTGGCTTTTCGTCGTACTCTCGGCTTACGCTTCTCAGCATCAGCAGGTATCAGAACAGTGCCTGCTGCCCAAGGGCCTGAACAGGGCTCAATCAGATTCATGGCTTCCAAATCTTTTAGGTACCCTTTTAACCATTGATTTGCTTCGAAAGGAATTGCGTACGGTGCAACCTTGGTAGGTTTCGCGCCTGGTTTCAGCTGAATATGGTACGGTGGCACGTTAAGCTCTCCCACTTCGGATAGCGATGTTGCAAATCGATCTTCATGCTTGTCCAAAACGGCTTGCAGTCGGTTTTGTTCGTGGGATGATAGCGTTGGATTGATGTTGAAGCGTTTAGTCGCAGGTGTTTTGGGTGGTTCTGCGATAGCCATATTTGAGCGCACTATAATGCTTTCGTTGACATCTTGTTGGTAGATTGGCACCCTGTCGCCGCTTGGTGTTGGTGCATCTGGGTACCACGTCAGTTCTTGTAGTTGCCGCATTACCTCATCCAAGTCAGTGGTGGTGGGCCGCTGAGGCAATGTCAACATATTCTTGGCGGCACCGATGATATCCCCGGCTTTTACCCCAAGACGCTGCTGCCCACGGTTCGCGATAAACAGAAAAGCAGATTGATCTGATTCAATCTTTGATGGCCAAATCACTATGTCGTGGTGCCCGACAGGGTGAGTTTCGAGGACGAGGTGTTCGCCAATTGCTGCTGAGTCTCCTTGGATTTTGAGTCTTAGCGCCAGGACTTCACCTTTGTCAAGGACCAGATCATTGTGCAGCGTGATTATTCTGTCCGCATTGTTGTTATCGCTTTCTCGTTCAATGGCCATATGTGCATAGACCGCCTCCATCTCGACGTTTTCGTCCGAAACTGGTAGCACTTCTCGACAGGGTTCAGGCCCAAACCCCCAATGCGTTGGTACCTCCCAAATAGCATCATTTGACGTGTCGTCTGGATGTCTGTCTGGTTTGAGGAAGGTGATGCGTTGTTGGTACGGTATAACGCTGGCGCAAGTGTGGTACAAGAAATCGTGCCCAAGAATTAGAGGAGTATTGTGATTTTGTACCTCCATGAACCGGTGGTAGACAACAAGCTCCTTGCTCAACGTGATGTTCAGGTCAATGGTACCAACGGGATGCTCGAGACTTCCTCCACCAAAGCGGATGACTCTTTCTGTCGGACGAATGTTCATATCCAGCTTCACTCGTTGGACCAGTGATATCGGCAAAATAGACACATTGGACCCACAGTCAACCAACGCCTCAATCTGTTCATCTGCGATGATTGCATAGATTGCCTGAAGCGCTCGCATTTCTTGCTTGTCAGTGGTATCGTAATGCAATTTCTTCGCGGTGATAGTGGTGTTTACTGTTGATACCAGAGGCTCTTGCCTGCGTCGATGACTACTATTGCTGGTGGCTCCCATGGCATTTAACGCTTCTTGCCGCAGGACCGGTGCATAGTACATCAATTGAGGAAATGGCACTTCAATTTTCATGTTTTTGAGGGCTTGACAGATATCGAATTGCTGTACGTTTCCCTTCTGATCCACGATCAAGGGGAATTAAGATGATGCTTTATGCTGCAATGATGGCGGGATCTCTCCTCGCGCTCGCGCCTCATCATCGGCTCGTTTGTATTGTGCTTTTGCTTGACGTGCTTTTTCCAGATTTGCCAACAGCTTGTTGTATCTTTCGTCGCTGACATGAACATTTGGTGATGTTTGTTGATTGTTGTGTTGAGCGGGTGGTTGCGAGGAGTCGACCTCCATGTTGCTGTCATGTTCTCGTTTGCGACTTCTGGTGCTAGTTGCAGGTGTATCGCCGTCGCCAGTAGCGTACACCCCTTGTATAAAGTTGACAGGTCTTGTCATTGATGAGGGTTCGGCCGCAGTGCCTGCCTTTACTGGCGGCCGCCCTGAAAATCCGTCGTGGAGTTTCCGCCTTGAATGTCTGCATTGTTTCTGTTCGCGCTCTTGGCGTCAGTTACTTGTGCTCCTGCTTGTCTTCTAGGACAGTTCATAGCATTGTGCTCTTGTTCTGGACATGTGCTGCAAGGGCCTCGACACTGGCGAGCTAGGTGACCGGTCTTGTTACAATTGTAGCAACGCGCCGCACTGTATGCGTTTCCTGCATGTGCGGCTCCTCCGGCCTCAGGTCGTTTTAGAATCTGCCTTGGTGCTTGTGATGATGCGTACGACCTCATCATCGCCTCCATCTTGTCTAACGCATTCGCCAAACTGTTATCAAAATGGTCTTGCAAAGTCGATGTGTCTTAGCGGTCGCCTCTGGGTGGCCTCGTTTGCTGACGAGCAGTGGTTTGATAGACAGGAACGATTTGGCGTCCGTCATGTTGTGGCACTGCCTGCTGAGGCAAGTTGCCAAGACCGACAGTGTGTCGTATGACCTCCATATGCCGCTCGGCTGCTCGGACGGCTTCTTTGAGCTCACTGATTCTGGTAGGTGCCGCACCGCGAAGCTGCTCTCGATATTCCAATCTGAGGCCTTCAATGACATCAGCGATCTTGTCACTGGCCAATAGCTGGGTATTGCACCCCTTTTCGTATCGACTCGCCAAGGCAAGTTTGTTTGTTGTATATTGTAGTCCGGATTCATGTTGCAGCTGTATGCGTTGCCGATATTCCCACCGATAGCGCTCCTGCCATCGTGCTGTTAGGAATTCGTTCTTGAATTGTTGGACAAAACAGTCGTCGGATTCGTCGTCAAAAGCGGTGCTACGTTCGAGATTCAGATCATGTTCAAACCAATCTTTGGCATGGGCATACAATGATAGTCCTGCCATTTCGATACGTCGTCTGTCGTTCTGCCAATTGTTCGCTACTGCAGCATCTTTGAATGCGTTAAGAAACTTCAAGGGATCGTCATGATTGGGATCTCCTCCAAATTTAGGTGCATCTACGCGTGATGTTTCCATATGCACGACAATGCGGTTGTTTTGGTCACGCGCGGTTTCGTCTCCTGTTTGGTCTGACATTATCACCACCGCACAGGCAGAAGTAGTTGCTTTGTATTTTCGCCGGTTGGCTTTGTTCTTTGAGGTTTTACGATGTTGTGGCAATGTGGATGGCCTATGCTCAGCTTCTCCACCAGTTTTATTGTATTGTCTGAGATTGGAATAGACGACTAAACATGCCACAAAACATATAGCGCATGAGATTCATATACAGCATAAAGGGGATGTACGATGGTAGAAAAGCGTATAAGTACCGTGGAATCAATCAAGTATATAAAATATATGAGGTTTACAAGCTAGGGCGAGGTACAAAGTTGTGAAGCGATAGTAAGCTATATATGTCCGTAAAATCCATCAATAATAGTTCTCAAGCTTGAACGAGCGGTCTGGTTTCTTATATCGTTACATACAGTATGCAATGGGTACGGTCGGTTTGACTTAAACGGAGTCAAAAGGATAGTAAACGAAAAGTACGAGAGAAAAAGGGGTTTTTTTTATTGTGCATATGGGATGAGAATTTATAATTTTCTATCATGCATAGCTAGGCTTGTTACTCAATGGTCGACTCACCAAGTGACACAAGTCACACTATTCTGCACTGCTATACTAGCCAATGAAAATTTATGTCGCATGTCCAGAAACGGATGTCGCTTGCTTAGAAATCAATGTCGCATAGGTCAGCAAGGAATTTCTTGGCATACTAAAAATGGTCTACCCATTGTTGCCATAGATCGTTTGCCATTTCTCGCCATAGATCGTTAGCTATTGCTCTCATAGATCGTTCGCCATTTCTCGCCATAGATCGTTCGCCATTGCTGCAAGATATAGTAGTTTGCGTTTGAAAATGTAGACGTTGAGATAGCGATATGTAGTTTTTAGATTCTGCGATGTAGGTTTGCCAAACACATTGTAGTTTTGAAACAGTCGATGTCATTTTTTTGGACCTTGATGTAACTAATGGCAACAGAACGTAAAGTGGAGCATGTGCCTGGAGGTTGGCATAAAGCTTCTTCTGCAACACAGAAAGAAAATAGCCACACAGAATTTGATACGGTCGGTAAGCTGAGGATGCTAAGAAGGGTTATATAAACATGTCAGAGCTATTAGATGGGTAAGATTGACTCGCCTGGATTGAGTAACTGGAGTACTCGATGTATGCAACAACCCCATGTCGAGAAGGTGCTGAATCCAAGGCGTCACTAGCATGCCAAAAAGGAGGGAATACCAAAAAGAGGAACCAAAGTAGCATGATATCCCCCGGATCAAAGCATCAGTAATCAAGGCAATCATGGGATCTAATATTGGATTTTTCCTAATGATTGGCGCTTAGTATTTGTCATGAACCATGAGCCATGGCATGGATCACGTGTTACTCCTACCTCCTTTTCTTCAGCCTCCATCAGCCCGTTATCCACCAGCCCGTTATCCCTCAGCCCTCTCAAGCCTCTATATCTTATCCTCTTTGCTTAGTGTTAGAATATAAATAGTAGGATCATAGACTGCTATAGAGAAGTATCTTGTATCTTGTATCTTGTATCTTGTACCCTTTGTATCCTAGTAAAGCCAACCTTGCTCCCCGTCCATTGCCCTCGTCTCTTGTCCTATTGTAAAAACAGATCAACTCTCCCTGCCTTGAACCCTGCCCCGCCCTGACAGTATTTTTCGTCTTAGCATGCAACAAATTTCCATTTAGCACTTGGTGAATATCAGCTTGACTGAAGATGTATTTTCCGTAGCGTCTTCTGTAGAAGCTGAAACTAGTTTTATTGGTGAAAACATATTTGACATATACTTTCGGTTGCCACCCTAATTACAAGAACAATGAGTGTAGCCTTTTTTACTGATGCTGCAGGATGAGAATATTGGACTAAAAGTTGCTAAAATGTACAGTGTGGTGGTATAAAGGAGAAATGAGCGTGTAAGATTTTCCCGGCGAAAACAATTAATCACTATCATAGTCTTCCTCAGCGTCATCACCATCGTCATTTTCAATGATGTCATTATCAATCAATCTGCCATGAGCTTTTTTGGTAGGTGTCAAGTAAATGTTTGGTGATCCGGGAATACCGGCATCATCAGACCCGCAGATGTTGGCGAAATGTGCGGCTTGCTTTTGACTTTGGATGGCCGGGAGAACAATATCCTTGAGATTGCAGTGGTGTTGTCGCCAAGCATACAACCGTCCAGCGTATCAATGAATGAAGGTAGCTCATCGAGATATGTAGGTATTACAAGCGTTGAAAGACGGCGAGAGACATACACATCTTCGATGCGTTTCACCGCAAACATATACCCCATCGGGCCGGTGAAGTCCATACCAACGGTATATACATTATCTATGAGATTATCGTCAATGGGAAGACTCAGCAGATAGGAAAGGATGGCCTTACAGGATTTTTCCTAATGATTGGCGGGGCTTTTTTTCCCATCATGGCGGGGCTTTTTTTTCACTTTGTCGTTGGGGGTGTTTGTGATTGGCGGTGTGATTTTCGTGAATGGCAGGAGGAAAAAAATACAATGGCAGCCGAGTTACAGGTTGATGGCAGAATAATAAATTCATAATGGCGGCCGTAATTTCAGGTTGATGGCAGAATAGTAAATCCATAATGGCGGTTGGGTAATTATGGTAATCGTTTTGCCTTCTTTTTCTCAGCATGACAGTTAATGATTTTCGACAACTCTATATTTTATTAAAAAAAACATATATATATATATGAAAAAAAAAGTAAAAGGAAAAAATATAGAAGGGTAGTAAAAAAACATATAAAATATGAAAAAAAACTACAGCATCTTCTCTCCTTCTATACACCTAGGCACAAACGTAAGGGAGTGGCGAATCCATCCTTGGCAATCTTGGGCGGTGACTTCATGGGCGGAGTTGATGATGCGCGGCAGCAAGGTGTCGTCTGTGGTCAGTAAATGGCGTTTGACACCTGCCTTGAGCTTTGACCAAAATTCCTCAATTGGATTGAGGAATGGGCTGTAGGGCGGGAGAAAGAGGATCTCGAATCCTTGCTTGGCAATGGCATCCCGAACTTCATCAGTCTTGTGGATAGCGGCATTATCCAATACCAAGGTCCTTCCACCCATACCATTTTCGGTGAGCACCTTCATCATCACTTCCAAAAATTCGATAAAATGCTCCGCCCGAGTGCCGATTTTGCCCATCACCTTTTCTTCACCGTCACGCGTCTTGCGTTTCTTGGAAGCGACAACCGCTTGAGGTCTCCGGAGACTCAAGTTGATTACACCTTCACCAGTGATGGCACCCAAGATCGTAATATTGACCCCACGCGACTTAGAAACCAAGGCCTTGGCGGGCTCACCTCGTCTCGATCGACCAAAGCTACGCTTGATGTGCATGTTGAAGCCAGCCTCATCAATAAAGACGCATTTGTGGTAATTAATGCCACTGGCTTCAAATGCGTGTGCCCAGTTGATCCGGGAAGCGATCGTTTCATCGGAGTTGCGGTACTCAGAGATCCGTTCCAACTTCTTCATAGTAAGCCCGCATTTGCTAACAAGGTGCTTCTGGAGGCCACTTTGAGTGATGCTGATGCCGAATCGATCAACAAGCAATTGCTGTGCTTCTTTGAGGGTCGCATCTGACTTGGTATCGTAATACGCCTGGAGAAATGCTGTGTGTTCGGGTGTCAAGGTTGGTGGAGGACCGGGAGATTTACCCATTGTACTTGGGAGATATGGCTCACCGTCGACAAATCGTTTCCAGTATCGCTGTGCGGTTCGTTCAGGGATCAACAAGTCGCGCCCAGCCTCTGCAGCGTTTAAAGTGACATTTTGGATTCTATCGATCAATTGGATAATTTCTGGATCTCGATACACTCGATGAGCTCCTATAGGAATTAAGAGTTTTGGATTAGATATCAGAAGCAACTAGAGGTTTAATGTTATTAAGTAAGGTTTAGTAATAGTAAGTAGCATACTTTTTGGGATGACAGGCTCTTTTGGAGGGTTTTTGCGAGGTCTTCCCCTTCCCTTTTTCACTGATTCCGTTTGGTTTTCTGCGGCTTCAGTACCAGGCGAAGTGGACGTTGGAGGATCGATTACCTTGGATGTAGAAATTTCCTATGAATTACCAACCATTAATTAATAAAATATATAGAATACATATCATGTTCTACAGAATTATTGACCAATATATTTTGTAAGTACCTGCGATGTAGTTTTTATCTTGGTCATCGATACAAGGGAGTGTCCACCACCAGTATGGCCACTAAATTCATCAGATACGATTTGGTACACGTCGTCTACTTCCATCTCCTCTTCATGCATATCAATGTCAGTATTGTATGGTAGCGTTAAATTTTTGATGGATAACATGGTGATAGTTGATGTAAAAAATCGAGTGATAATAATACTGTATGGACAAGTACAATAAATAAAATGATTCATACTTTTCAATTCTGTGAATTTGTTATTGAACAGAACTTGTAAGGTAACACCAAATGGGACAAAAAATAGTAGTTTTTTTAAATCCATCAGATCAACTCGCAATAATGTCACCCATGTTAAACCCACTAAGCAAGATACAGTTTGTAGCTAATTATAAAAAGTATCCCACCATTGTTACATAAAGCAAGTATTTGTTTAGAGACAACCAGCAGAGAAAAAAATATTTATTAATAAAAAAAAACTACGGATGTTGTAAAGCTGCCTCCAGAATATCATCATTAACCTTCGTCAAAAGTGGTTACTCTTGGGAGCACGGGGCCGTTTGGGTGGTGGTGGCATGTGGGGGCGGTAGATGCAGATGAGTCTTGATGCGTTCCCTTCGGCATCTTCACCTTGGCGCCGGCTTGCTCGATTGTAAGCCTATCCCAAAAATAGGCGCGCAGCACCACTACGACCTCGTCTTGGTTGTACCCGCGGCGGGGTGCTCGTTGCCGTCTTCGTGGTAGTGATGGCGATGATGGGGCAGAGGAGGCAGAGGAGGCGGAGGAGGATGGAGACCGCGATGCTGATGATGATGATGATGATGGTGATGTTGTAGTGTCTTCTTCAAAGTCACCAAAAGGAAGAGCCTTGCTCAATTCCTGAGTATTGTATACATCGAGACTGCCTTGCATGTCCACGTCTAATTCAAACTGCATGAGGTCGAGGGAGGAGTCGTTTGTAGAAATGATATCGGACATGATTAATAGTAAATTTAGAATGAGTTATTACAAGCAATGGATTTGAATCATCGGTTTATATACTTTTTTGTTCCGTACCTACAGATATATATAATTAAGCAATCCACAATGGTATCTACAACAGATGACAACATTCCATTATAACGCATAGACTTGAAGTTTCAACATAGAGTATATATGAATGCTACACCAGATGGGACAAAAAAATCACAGCAAAGCATAATTACGTGTATGTGTGAAGATCTAGTAAGAAGTATAATGCAGTGTTGCACGAACTGGGACGGCATAAAGTAATAGTGGAGGGTGATTCCATTCCATCTTATGTGGTTCCATTCCATTGTTTGAATAAGAAAATAAAATATAACAGCAAAGCATAGTAGCGTATATGCGTGAGGATCTACCAAGAAGTATAATGAAGCGTTGCACGAAGTGGGACAAAAAACCGACAGCAAAGTATAATTACGTGTATGTGTGAGGATCTAGTAAGAAGTATAATGGAGTGTTGCACGAACTGGGACGGCATAAAGTAATAGCGGAGGGTGATTGCATTCCATTTCGTGCAACGCTTTATACTTCTTACTAGATCCTCGCTGTGGTTTTTTTTTGTCCCATTTCGTGCAACGCTTCATTATACTTCTTGCTAGATCTTCATATGGATACAAGCTATTAAACTTTGCTGTGATTTTTTTTGTCCCATTTCGTGCAACACTTCGTTATATTTTATTTTCATATACAGATAATGGAATGAAATCACCTTCCGTACTTTATGCCGCCCCATTTCGTGCAACATTTCATTATGCTTCTTGCTAGATCTTCATGTGGATACTCTACCCTATTCTTCTACAGTACTGTAGGTTTGCAAGGATCATATCTTACTTATAGTTTATTTATTTCCTACCTGAAAATTTCTGATTATAAACTTTCTTTTTACTCTATCTGTCTGAATTCTCACTACATAGTCCTTTCCAGCATGGCAAGCATTGTCCTTTCTCATAAAGAAATACGTGAAGCTGTCAATGTCAGTGAGGGAGAAGACCCTTACATTGGTATGTTTATATAATCGAAGATTATATCCTTTGGCCACTATTCTAATGCTTTAATAGAGGAATTTATAAGAACCTTAGATGCAATGCGGCTGGAAGAAGATTACGAACCAGTCGACGAGCTCCCCTGTGTTAAGGCAGTTCAAGATCTAGTGCAACTGGTGGAACAGCTCCAAGAAGAAATCACAACACTGACAACTGTCAAAAAACGAACATATAGTAAATGGAACAAGGATGATGAAGTAATCAAGAAAGCAATTAAAGATTGTGCCCTTGAAAGACGCGACTACGGTAGAACCAAAGTTCCAGCAGCTACAATGCATCGCTGGGTTATGCAATTTATCGATACTGAGGAAGGTCAAGCAGTTTTGCGAGAGCATCATTTGAAAACCAAATAAATGCATTTCTTTTGTCAAAAAATTATTTTTTTTCTTCATACAGTAGTCTGTCTCTTTATTTTTGTGAATCATCACAAATACTGGATAAGATAACCTTACAAACATCTATTACTGGATCTTTTTGGTGGTGTCACAAACCAGCAATATAGTTTAACGGCATATGCGTAAGAAAACTAAGCCGTTTGTAACTATTTTGTATCCCAAAAGCATGTGGTTACATAAGAGAAAACCATAAACTATTTAAACCAAAGACAAGTCTATTTTCCGAATGTATAAATCACTCTATCTTTTTCGTAACAATGAACAACAACAACAACAACATCTCCTTTACAAAATTTCTGGAATTTGAATTGTGGGATGAATCCATGTTGGAACCATTCGATCCGAGTAAGTTCAACTAAACATTACTATCAAAAAACAGCGCGTTACTCATCTATTTCCATTATATATAGCTACACCTACGGATATTCTTCCGGAAGAAGACCTGGGCAACCTGGTTTACCTTGTAGTTGACAAAATGGAAACCAGTACGTCCCAAACACATTTTACCATTATTCAAAAGATGCGTGCAACTTGTTAATTTTTAGTTTACTGATGTAACAAAAACATATCTTCTGTCTAGGTCAACTGGTCCATAATCAAGGTAGCCAGGAAGACCAGGTCAGCAACAACAATTATGGGGTTAACAGAACCTTTCATACTGACTCCAAACAAGCATACTTGATCCACCTCTACTTTAATATGGGGTGGTCAATACGAAAGGCAGCGGAGGAAGCAAAGATCCCGAAATCAACAGCACAAAGATACATAAAAAATAAAAAAATAAAAAAAATAAATAAATAAGCTTTCTTGGAAAAAATTACTTTGACTGGTTTGAGTCATAGATAAATGGTGGTGGTATGAGTGAGTAGGACTATAGGAATATTCAGGGACAAAATGGTTGTAGATAGCAATAATGATCAATTAAAAATATGATATAACATCTAGTCTTACTATTTTTATATATTCCTGTAACCATAGATTTATATTGTGGTATGAGTGTGGGTGCGGGTGTGAGTGACATGTGAGATTGAGCTTGGGTTACATTTTAAAAACATATAAAGCAGCATACCTGCAATGGCAAGAATTGTTTCACTCATTCTCAAGATGTCGCTTAATCTCTGGCGTTACTTCATTACGTCGTATCACATCGTCACAGCTCTGCAAATAAAAGGTATTACATCTATTCTTATTAATCTTATTTATTCTTCTTTTGTTTATACTTCTATTATAGAGCGCCATCAAACAGATCTCGAATATCGCGTATACTTCGACAAAGAACTATATTTCCTACTAGATGAAATAGATGGAGAGGAGCTGCTGGATGTAATCTGGCGACGACCAGTCAAGCTGCCAGTGAAGACCAAAGAACCGTTCACCGAGTTTTGGCCGAATGGAATGAAGTCCGCTGGACATTGCTTCTAATGCAGGATCGGCTTTTGTGGATTGAAGAAATTTTCGCAAGATTGAAGTTTCTCTTGTGATGTGAAGTACCTCTTGTATTGTAAATAAAACCTTTTACATACACATGATCATTATTTTTCGTTTTCGATATCTTTTTTTGCGATTCTTTTATGGTTCTCAGAGCATCTATGTTGCTATATAAGGGTGATGTGCTAATCATCTAGTAGAAACTTGCCACTCCTATTATCATGTCTCATACATCTTCCCATGTTTGTGATGTATTTAATGAGATGAACTGCTTTAGTATCTAATGTCATTTTTTAAAAATGATGCCGCTAATGATATAATTCAAACCGCCATTATGAATTTACTATTCTGCCATCAACCTGAAATTACGGCCGCCATTATGAATTTATTATTCTGCCATCAACCTGTAATTCGGCCGCCATTGTATTTTTTTCCTCCTGCCATTCACGAAAATCACACCGCCAATCACAAACACCCCCAACGACAAAGTGAAAAAAAAGCCCCGCCATAATGGGAAAAAAAGCCCCGCCAATCATTAGGAAAAATCCTGTATTCATCCTAATGTTCTTGGCCTGCTGGATCAGCGACTTTCGCGGTGATACTTTGAGTCTCTTCCATTCGCTCGTAGATAGTTCCTCATTCTGAGCAGAAAGAATCAGATCGATCCGGCGCCCAAATCCTTTGTTCAACGGAATGTTCGAACCAAAAACCCTTTTATGCATTTTTGCGATCGATTTGGAGGCTTTGCACGTCGTATCCCCATCGAAGATTTGCAGCCTGCTACCGTTTAGTACCTCATCAAGTATTTTCGTACACTTCCTGTAGCAAGTGAGTTCACTACTGTCGTTGTCATTAGGGGAGGCGGCGGGGTCAGTCAGGCAAGCCTTGGCCACAATTTCAAGGATATCCAATAATTGCAAGCACTGGGTGTCGTCAGATTTCAGTAGAGCCACCTTTTCCTCGGCAATCGCGATCCGCAAAAGCTTCGTATCAAGTTTCTTGTACATAGGCGCAGCTTTGGCTACTGACTCAAGGTGCAATTGCTTTGCCTCTTTAGCTGATAACGACTGACATTCTACAGCGTTTTGGTACATCTGCTTCATGTCAGGTGGGATATCCGTGCCCAAGGCAATCATTTCACCATAAAGTGCCCTGACCGCTGGGGCCATGCCATGGCCAAGGTTAATTTCTTGTACTTTTGCAACTCGCTCCCAGAAGCTGCTATTGGTAATATGCTTGCGAAATATCTTTTCAGTTTAGCTATTGACGGTATCGACGATCCGTGACAAGGAAAGCTTCAATGCGTTGACTTGGTGAATTTCAGACAAGTTTATCTTTAGGGCAAGGTTGGCCGACATGACGTCCAGCTGCTCTCCAAGCGAATCAGATGCGGTGAAATTGTTCAGGAGCTTGCGCAGGTTGCTGGCATCCTGGAGAGACAGCTGCTTATTCAGCTAGAAAAGGTATGTTAATCCACAACTATCGATGAGCCAACTGCGCGCTTACCACTTTGACGCCAGCTTCGTACACGGCTTTTCTAAAATCTTTGGGCGTAATTGGCTCTGGAGTCTTTTGTAGCTCGTTCGAAGCCAGCGCGTTGTACATCATCTCCACTATTCGGGCACGTTGTGCGGGTAAAGGATGCGTATCCTGGTCGGATTGGTTTTCAGAACTTGCTGCTTTTTTGTATGAGATCATCAGCTCTAAGTATACACATACGTGCACAACGGGAAAACTTACCTCGTTTGCCAAGGACAGACCCTTCGGAGCGTGGTTCTGTGATGGTGGTGGTGGTGGTGGTGTCACCGGGACCTTCCTTCCCAACCATATTAGCCCCGTAATTAGTAGAGTTGACGAATGCGAACGAATTATCTCCTTGGTGTAAGTGATATGTGTTCGACGAGACTGCTGGTGACGAAGTGCCATTGTCGTTCTAATACGAAAAAGATGAGGAAACGGTAACGTGGATCATTCTTATCTTGTTCATACCTCCTTTAACAACTCCTTTAGTTCTTGCTTGACGCTATCTGGTGTCGAGGAATCCTTCTGGATAGCGTCGAGACACCTCTGGTAGGAAGATTCTAGCGTGTTGGACGAAGGAGGATTGCGCATTGTTTTTTTAAAATGATTTTTGAAGTGATAGAATCCCCAATCCTTAAGGCTATTTGCGGCGAAGAAGCGACGGTACTTGTCATTCCCATTGTACGTATCGTAATACTCGCTAAGGTCCATGTGTAATGCAAGTGAAGGCAGGCGAAAGTGTCGCGAGCATATTTTGCTGACGTCGGACTCTTATTTCAAAAGCCTATGACGTCGCCTGTGGGAATTAAAACTGGAGCAGCGTAAAAATATTTTGCCTTTTGCCCATCTCGAACTGACTCGATGTCGGGTATGAAGACGGGATGACAATAGGACTACGTACGCCTTTGGGACACCTTATGGTGATGGCGTATGTCTCTGGTCAGCTTGATCCTTTTGGGAGCTCGCTCGGTTTCCCAATTACCGAAGACAATAGCGCCCCATGTGTTTTCTTCTTTGCAACAACCAAACCATGGGCCGTGGCTCCAGGGTCAATACTCTCTTTTGCTCTTCCAAGTGCTACCGTCGAATCAGTAAGCTACTTATGTTGACGGTTCTGGACGAGTTTTGTGTACTAACTTTCTATACATTGCCAAATACCTCTTTGTCGAGTCATATTTGCCTAGGGATCAATGTTGATAAACGTCATGTGGATAGATACCATAGTGCTAGTGCCCCTTTGACTAAACTCTCTGTGAACATTTAAATGGATCACCTGGCCGACCCCCATTCATTTTTTTTTGTACTCATGTTGCTTTATCCCATAAATGCATCTTTACTTTGTCTCTCAAGAGCTGTTCCTTTGACTGATAATACTTCTTAATGCACGTATTCTGAACTCGTATTTGTCAGAATAGACCACGTCAAATAAGCCGCAGGAGAACAGTACCAATGCGTTAATTGACCTTACCAAATTCTGTGCGGCTATTTTGTTGTCAATGATTACATCAGGCTCAAAGAAATGACATCGACCGTTTTTAAAGTACAATGTGTTTGGCAAAATTACATCATACGATCTAAAAATTACATCTTGCTATCTCGATTTTTACATTTTCAAACGCAAACTACTGTAAACTGTTTTGCAATAGATCGTTTTGCTATAATTATGTAAGGTTTCAGGACTAGGACAAGACAGGACCAAGACCAGAGATTAATCAAAACAAGACAAGATGGGAACCGGGGAAACGGCAAGGTACTAGGTGCTTTCGCTAGATAAGACGAGACAAGACAAGAATCAGAGATCGGATTGAAAGATCACTGAAAGGGTGAGACGAAGATCGAGCAGAACAAGACAGGAAGAACGGGATAGTTCCGGATAGATAGTCGAATGACTGGATGTTACCAGATAAGACAAGATATAGCAAGACAATCGAATTGACTTCTATTTGATGAATGGGTGTTGGGTATTTATATGGATTCAATTATGAAGATGGATGCGCGTGAATTAATATGTGTGCAAACATCACGAGGTCATGAAGAGGCCATTACAGATATTGATATACGCAGTCATCACAGTGTCACGAGTAAGTCGTTACACTTGCTTAGAGATCAATGTCGCATAGCCAAGCTAGGATTTTCTTGGCAGACCCATTTCCAGGTCATTGACCCTTTTTCTCCTGACCATATTCGACTTCTACCACTGCTACTTACCTATATTGCGCAACTGAAAAAAAGAAAAGATTGATACTTACCTGAATGCATATTATTAGTTGTTAATGAGGCTGTACAATATTACAAGTTTTCTTTGTTCCGACATTTATCCCAGCAGTTGTGAGAATGTGAAGCAAAACCTTGGAAGTCGCTTGACCTTACACTGTTGCATGCATCGCGGATCCTTGTCGATAAGGTGTCCTCTGACAGGAACCGGTTGCGCTTAACCTTGCTTTTCGCCACAGACCAGAATTGTTCTATTGGGTTAAGCTCAGGAGAATACTTAGGAAGATATACACATTTATATCCTCGATACTGAATATACTTTGCGATATCTTTGTTGACATGAATAGGTGCATTATCCATAACAATATAGTGTCCCTTCATGTGAGGAAACTTGTCCATTTCATCCAAAGTATCCTTCAAAAAGCTGATGTAGTGACCGGTTACAGTGCCAGTGCTCACTTTCTCATATTGGTCATCAGCCTTTCTCTTCTTACGAGGCTGTGGGATTCTCACGCTTACCTTAATTAAGCCTGAAGCAGAGATGGCACCTAAAATAGACGTTGTTTTCGCTCTTGTTGTAGGAACAGTAACAACAGCAGGAACACCCTTCTTTGACCAAGCTCTTGTGCGTTTCATGTTTATATGAAATGCAGACTCATCAAGAAATACGCAGTTTGTCAGGAAGTTCAAGTCAGTTTGTTCCCACTGACGGACCCAGTCATATCGCTCTTATATTTTTTCCACACTGTTTCTTTCAACAGATTGAAAGTCTGCTTTTTTCAACGAAAGGTTGCAGTGAAACCTCATGAAGTTGTAAACAGTGCTGCGAGAAACTTGAAGGTCCTTATACTTCTTCGCTAAATGTTCAGCTACTTCGATGACTGCAGTAGAAGGATTATCATCAATGAAGTCGGTGACAGTCTGCTTGTGTTCTGCAGTCAAAATGGGTCTACGACCAGACTTTTTACCCTTGTCGAAAATACTATCAGGTCGTTCATCATACTGCTTAACCCATCTCTGGGCAGTGCGAACATGAATACTAAGCTGTTTTGCTGCAGCTGATGCAGTCAAGCACTTGTCAATCTTCAGCTTAAAGAACCTGGTCTTATCTTGGCAAGTGTAGCGTACATATTCTCGCTTTTCACCCACTTTCTTCATATGAGAATCTTCGCTGCTTGGTTTATCCACCTGCATTGCGATGCTTTGAGATCCCACAGAAGCCGTCTTCTCTAAGTACTCAGTGTAAGAGGTAATTGTTTCAACGACAAATTGTTCCTGGTCAACAATATAATCCATAGGTTCCAGATTGCCATGTTCATCAACAACATTTCCCTGTCCATCTTCGTACAAAAATTGTGCACTCATGTTGAATTGCGATGTAGTGAGGAAGAAAAAAAAGCTTGGGGAAAAAGGCAGCGCACCCCTATATATATTTTTAGTGTGCCAAGAAATTCCTTGCTGACCTATGCGACATTGATTTCTAAGCAAGCGACATCCGTTTCTGGACATGCGACATAAATTTTCATTGGCTAGCGACATTGATTTCCATTGGACAACGACATTGATTTTCATCGGGCGCGACATTGATTTTCATTGGCTGCGACATTACTTATTGAAAATACTGTATTCAATAGTACAATGAGTTCGCAAGAGGTGTGTTACTTGACTTAATCAACCGCCAACAATATTTGAGGCATTTTCTTGAAATTCGTTGCAAAAAGCTTAAATCACTATGATAACTAATTTTTTTTGTTGGGGTGTTGAAGCAATCTACTACTCATCAAAACTGTAACTGTGGTTCAAATGTCGACAATGGACCATGCCCAGCTCATTCTCGCAATGTTCGTCGTAGAATAGGCAATGTATGTTTTGCGAGTCTATATATATTTATATTTGTATTACTGCAGTCTGTTTACTTTGAGAAATCGGTATGTAGATTGTTTTTGAAGACCCCACCGCTCCTGCTACTTCGAGAATTTGCGTCTGTGGCTCAACCACCTACCAAAGACGTTCCTACGGGCTTTGCCCCCTTAACCCTCGCAACCAAGGTATTTTACCTGAATTGATCAGTTTGGTATATAATATTGTTGCTGATAAAACTACAGTTGCCACACTTCCTACTTCTCTGTCTTCAGCAGCTGCCACCATTGTTGCCGTCGATGCTCAGCCATCCGCTCCTCCTCTACCAGCACCACCCGCCACTGTCAACGCTCAGCCGCCTCCTGTCGTCGCTACCAACTCTCCGTCTCCTCCACCTACACCTGCCGCCAATCCTCCTCCAGTAACGCCTGCTGCTATTACTGCCACCCCACCAGTTACGCGTTGCTCCAATTGCTGGGCACCAACGCACACGCGCCGCACCCACCGCCTCTGTCCATTTAACCCAAGCAATGTCGAGCATGAGCATGGGGCGCAATACCGCATTGCGCATGTAGTCCCCTTCGATCTAGAAGACGTTTTTGGGCCAAACATATGCTATACTGCCGGCGACTCCTTCCATCGTCATGTGTTGCCACGTATGGATACTGTTTGTCCGTATTGTGGTGCACTAATATGGTTGGATGAAAAGCTCACGATATCATCTATACGCAATCCTCGCTTTGGTCTCTGCTGCCTTTCTGGAAAGATCCAGCTGCCAATTCCTCGCGCTCCTCCTGTTCCTCTCCGTGACCTCCTAACGAATCGTAACAGTAATGATCCCGTTAGTGTCAACTTCCATACCAACATCAGGGCATATAACAGTATGTTTGCATTTGCATCCATTCTTGGTGGCAACGTCGATCCTGTCTTAGCAAGTGGTGCAGGCGGCGTACCCACTTACCGTATCAATGGTACATTGTATCATGCTGTTGGTGCACTAAGACCTGATAACCAGGCGCAAGCGAACTATTCGCAGATCTATTTCGCGGATACACAGGAGCAATTGGCAAGACGTACGACTTTGTATTCTGGGCTCCTCCGCGAGACGATCGAAATGCTGCAAGGTGTAATGGAGACGCACAATCCTTTGGCGCGCACATTCGTTTCTGCTGTCGAAACCCACGGTGATCAGCCACTTGGAACACTTCAGGCTGTAATTCGTCAAAGCAACTTGGGCCGTCGCTACGATCAACAGGGTTACCCTGAAGTAGCAGCAATGGTGGTAGAACGTACTGTAGATGGCACTGCACGGGAGCATGACTTCGTCATTCACGATCGTGCAGAAGGTCTTCGTCGTATCAGCTCCTTGCACGCATCGTATATGCCGCTCCATTACGTCCTGATGTTCCCATTTGGCGATAATGGATGGTTCCAAGGTTTGACTTGCGAGTCGGTGTCGCATGACACGATCCAAGTAACGCTGCGTGAGCACTACACGTACTTGCTCATGATCCGTA